GTTTCAGAAGTGTAGAAGGTTTGATGAGCAACTTACATTCAAATTAAACCCCTCTGGTGGACTATCATACCAAGAGTCCTCTGATTCAAAAACATCATAATTTGGCACCCCTGGTTTTCTTGGCCATTTTAAAGGAGCTGGTTCTGTATCAAGCACCTCATCGTTCTCCTGAAGTATTGCTTCATCCACTTCTTGTGGAGGTGGCAATATTATAATCCCGGCATGGGACACTAAAAATCACATGCGCAGCAGGACTCAAAAGCTATTAGATCCAAAGAGTGTATGACTTACTCATACACATCTCTATTAATACTACTAATATGGAGAGTCAATGAAATTGTCATACCAGCATCAGGGACATCAGAACCTGAGGCAACAGCCTCTGCTGCTTGTTTTAGTGCTGCTGCACATGCTTCTGCAGATTTAAATCGATATGAATCATCATCCTCTTCCATGTCTGTAGGGCCTGATCCCATATAAGCTTGATTCGCTTCTTCTGATATTTCGGCTGAACACTCCATTTTCTTTCCAGTGCCATTATCAATATTTTCATCAGCCCAAGTAACTGAACGAGCCATTTTCTTGTAATTTGAGGATTTTAGAGAAGATCTGAGCGATTGTTTTTCACGTGCACCGTCTGATGCATATTCTCTTCCGGCATCAGACATATTTAGTACCTCAAGACTTTTGTTCCTGACATCATGTTGGCAAGGACCAGAGGACACTTCTCTGTTGTTAAATTTATCGACCTTATAACTTCTATCATTCGAATCTGTTTTTTCTGTTTCTTCTCCAGAATACAACTGCAAGACATCAACTTGCTTCCCCAATATAGAAACATCAGCATCCCCAACTTCATAGCTTGTTTTTGTTTGTGCTTCGTTAACCTTTTTACTTGAGACAACATTTATAGGAGCTGGTAACTTTGAAATGCTATACCCATCTTGAGTTATTATAGTGCTGGAAAAGTCCATCTCGTTTAGTATCATGTTTTTCTTATTTTGGAGTTTGGTCTGCTTATTCTTGAATCCTGAAAAATTACAAGTATTTGTCTTGATCAACAAAGGCATACATTAATTAATTAGAATATGAAGTCTCTTATTTTAAGATTTCAAATGAAGTGACTCCAGCAAGCATAAGCATGCAAGTTCTTTTCTCTATTAACTACATATGCACCTTTAGATCATTTAAGTTTTTTCTAGATTTCAAGTGTAGTGAATACAGCAAGCATAACTGCATAAGTGTGTAGGTTCTTTTCTCTGTTAACTACTACACATGCACGTTTAGATCATTGAAGTTTTTTTGCTAAAAGATCATTGAAGTTCTCTACCTTTCTTAATGTTGTTCAGCAGTGCTGGCTTCACACTTTGATCTCTCTGTGGAAAATAGCCTTCAATTGCGTCAGATGGACCCATCCACTCATCCATTGAAACTTCACCACCCTTTACATCCAGTTTTTCCTGAATCTTCAACTTGGATAATCCTAGTTCTCCATTATCCTTCACATCCTCTGTGGAATGCAAATGCAATCCCACAAATAGCTTCAGGACTTCATTAAGTTTTGCTGTATTTAAAGTATCGCTTCTCTCGTCTTGCAAGCTACGGGCAAATGCTCCACTGTTGACAACACAGTTTGTTGAACAGTACATGTATGCTTCGTGAAGATCATAAACTTTATGCTCCTTCAATGATATCCGGTAATGTCCCTTCTTAGGCCTTTCAGAAGGCAGACAGTTGCTACAAAGAGGATAACCGCACATGTTTGCTATTGTTCGTTCAGTTACTACATCCTGATAATCTCTTCGGGACAGCAAAGACCCAGCAGCAAAGAGTTGGTTTTCATCTTTAATGCCTTCAAGAAGACAGAGTTGCAGCTTGTGGATAGCATCTTTAACAGCGATGACTTCTTCATTTGCCATCAGAGAACTCTTCCCAAGTACTGATAACAACAAACTTTCGCTCATAAGTTCATAAACTACATGACAAGAAATAGATGTTGAAAATAAATCTCACCCATTATGCACGTTACAACAACAACAACCCAGTAAAATCCCACAAGTGAAACACACTCGAATTGGGATTATATATCATGACTATGCCACGGGAACCGTACCATAGTCACGATGATTTATTATTAATCGCGCCTAAAGCAAGCTACAATGTTTATGAATTATTTTCCTAAACTATCTTTGAGATTTGTTGTGAGATTTGTTGTAAGGTTACGAATTATGGAATTTGTTGTCCACAAACTCGTTCTGCTTTCAAAGTTCTCTTTCAAACAAAATGGAAACTAATTCATCTAAATCATCATCACAGACCCAAAGTAACTTAAACAGATTATGTACCAAACTTAAACTAATATTTTTAACATGCAACTTTAAAGAGAGAATGACATAAACACATGGCAATAATTTTTAATTATACAAAAAAAAGAACAATAAGAAAACTCAACAAAACAGAAGGATGGCACATTTCAATGACATAGATTTCACAAGACAACAATATATATCCATAAATACGGTAATAAAATGAAATAAAAGTGGAAGAAGTGAACCTTCTTTGAAGCTTTATGAATATATCAGTAAGAACCTCCAGATGGTTTACAATACCTTGTTGATAATGAATGCAAAATTGGAGATAAATGTCGACTCTTGACAAGGAATTGAACCAAAACGAAAATATTGCCAGAAAAAACCCAAACTGGACCTATGTTGTCCGAAACCCCAAAACAACGACCTCCAACTTTACCCGAAACCTCAACTGGTTTTGGGTGGAGTCTCGATGAGGAAGAAGGGTGATTTTTGGTGCTATTTTCAGCCGGGTTTGGAGTGATTCAACAGGAGAACAATGGTACTTTAGGTGAAGTTTCAACTGGGTTTTCTACAGGCAGAAGCTATGGTGTATTCATGGTATTGAATTGCTGCGTTTTTGAGTTTTGGAGTTTTCTTTCCAAACTTTTGTTTCTCGTTCTTCTCCTCTCGTTTTTTGGGTGATTAGGGTTTTTTTTCAGAGAAGAGAAGGGGTCTGTTAAAGTAAGTGAAGAGAGGATACTGGCCAGGCGGGTCGGGCAGATGGGGACTGGGCTGGTGCTGAAACTGAGCCAATTTGAAACAAGAAGCAACAGACCCTATTCCTCTTTTGTTTGATCTTTCAACAATAGCCACATTACTTCTAATTGAATTTGTTTTGCCAAAACGACCTAATTAGCATTTTAACTAATTAATTAAACTAATTGATTAAAGATAATGTATTTTTTTTGTTTTAATCATCCTTTTAACCTATAATTAATTCTTAAATTCAATTAACACACTAAATGAAAGATAAAAAATATTTTTGATGATTTATATGATTTAAAACATTTCTAATTATGCATGAACAATGTGAATAAATGTAACAAGAATAAAATAAAAATTCCTAAAATTCTAAAAAATTAATTACAATTATTTTTGGACTATTTTTAGGAGTAATTTCTTATGTGGGGCAAAAATTAGGTGCTCACAATATTAACTGATAAAGCTTAAAAAACTTAATATTAAACACAAATATATTTGAAACTTTTTAGAAAATTTATTGACTATAAAAAACTATCATTTGTTAAACAAAATTTGTTTTTATTATTTTAAATAAATATTAAGAAATAAATATTTTTTATCATTTTTATATTTAGAATATTTTCGTGTTTGAATATGATTAAACAAATTGAGTGTCGTAGAAAAATTAAATGTATGGATATATTATAAAAATAATAAATAAAAATTATTTAAAATTATTTTAATTATAAATAAAATATCTAGGTAAAAATATATTATATATTGTATAATATAGATGGTATTATATAAATAAGAGGATGTATAATGGCAATGACATAATAGACTTTTCAAGTAAAAGTATTATAAAATTTGGCCAAGATGACTTTTGTGATAAATAGAGCAAAGTAAAATAATTTTTGTGTAACAAAAAAAAAAGTAATTTTTGGGTAATTAACACAAAGTTGAATGATTTTTACATAACAAAAAGAAGGAAAGTGACTTTTGCGTAATAAACACAAAGTTGAATGATCATCCCTAAACTTTACTCCTAAATTACATTATTAGTGCTATTCAGGAAGTTAAACAAAATTTAACGACATTGTTTGGCAAATATTTTCTTGTCATTTCATGTGGTTTTTAATTATGTAACTTTGTTAAAAGAAATAAAGATACTAAATATGTCAAAGCAAGTTGAAGTTCATAAAAATTCTACTGTCCATGTGGCTTCATTTAATCACCTCTTGAATTGACTTATTTTACCTAAGTTATCAACATTTTCCCTTTATCCGCATTTAAGACTAACAAAGTGAGCTCAAGTAGCTGCAGTAAATGTGTCATAGGGAGAACTATTAATGATCTTTTAGTTCAAAATAAGCTCATTCCAGGACAATATAATTCTGGAATTTCTCATCACCTATATGAGATAATATCAATAGTTTGGTATAAAATTAATCTTAATATAATTAATATCAATAATCAAACAATGAATAAATAATTTAATATGGAAATTAGTATCCTACGATAACCAAACCACCTCTTACGACAGAGTCAAAGTAGCAAGTTTATAAATTAGTACAAGTTACATATACAAATAGGGTAGACTGGCCTCATTTGTTTGCACTTAACGGAGGTCTGAATTTTAATCAACCAGATCTCAGATATTAAGTGTGTTGTTTTAAAAGTCTGAATTTTAACTATTTAGATCTTAATCATCAAGTGTTTTTTTTTTTTTTTTTACTTCACAACCACTTTAATGTGTCTGAATAGGTATGTATGATTAAGATCAATAACAAAGACCCAAACCCATTAAGATGTTATCATCCACATTCATTACTAACTGTTATCACCGCCTACCATTATAAACTACTACTACCACCACCACCACCATCCTCAAACATAGCCGCCACCACTACCACCACCCACCACCCCTACCGTCATCCTCAACCATAACCACATACTCATCCACCTCCACTACCACAACCAACCACCGCATCACCATCAATAACCATAGTCGGTATTGTCCAACATTATTAACTATCACCATCCACCACCACCACCCAACATTATTAACTATCACCATCCACCACCACCACCACCATCCTCAATCATAATCGATATCAATCACTACTAGCGTAACCTAGAACCACCACCATTTAATTAATTAGTATTTTATTTAAATTTTATATTGATTAATTTTTAAATAAAGATAAATTTGATATATTCAAATATTAAAATAAACAAACATTCTTAATAATTTAGTATTCAGATCTTAATATTCACATGAACAAAAAAAACAAACGAGGCAAGTAGGGGTATCCATAAAAATCGGACCAAACCGAGAATCGACCCAAACCGACCAAAATAATCGATGCTTTTTAGGTTAGGTTTGGTTTTGGTTTAGAATTTTAAAAACCAATCAAATTTGTGTTGGTTTTGGTTTTAGTCAAAAAATAACCGAAAAAATCGAACCAAGCCAACTATAAAAGTAGCTATTTAAATTTATTATTACACACACATGTATATTTTTATATAAAATTTCTAAAATTTAATGGTACATATTAGTCATTGTGAGCACCTAATTTTTGACCATACTTGAATTTTTTTCCACTCATCTTACCAATACGTCACTTCTCACTCCATCTTTCCCGCTCTCATCTTCTTACGCATGTCCCCACTCCACTTTTCCTTGTCCCCCACTCTTTGTCCCCCACACTTTGTCTCCACTCTACTTTTCCTTGTCCCACATGCTTGTCCCCTATGTTTGTCCCCACTCATAATGTCTAACTCATTTCTTCTTCATCAAAATTGCACCAAATAAGCCCCTAAAAAAAACGGAACTCAATCATTTTCTTCCTCTAAGAACAAGCATGAAAAATTCTAGCAATTGAACCAACAAAAAGACCTCCAAAACACCTCCTAACCAACTCTGAAAATCAGTCCAAATTCATCCAAAAATGCAGCTGAAACGCACTGCTTTCTCACTCAAAATTCAACCCCAAAACAGTTAGAAAGTCAACCCTTAACCTCCATTTTTGGACAGCCAAACACCCTACTCATTTACCTCTAGATTTCCGCCTTCAAACACCATAATACACCAGAAAAAGTTTTTCGAAAATCAGTCCAAAAATATCACATAAAATATCCCAAAAACGAGCTTATTTTCCCCAAATTGCAGATGCCAAACTCACCCCATTAACACCACGTAAAGCTCCGCTAAAAGCCCCAAAAAAGCAGCTGAAAATCTGCCCTGAAATGCAGCGAATCCAGCTGCGCAGCTGCTGAAAAACAGCTCCATAACACCCCAAATCGCCACTAAAATATACAAGTTCAGTCGAGGTTATGGTTTGAAGCTCCGTCAAGATTTTCGCCGCGGGTTTCAGTTGCGATTCAGTTTTGTGTAAAGGCTCAACGAATCTCTGCTCCTTATGTATTGAAGAAAATTTCAACTATTGAAAGGTTCATTCTTGTTCCTATTTTGCTCAATAACGTTCCAAATTTCATGCTTTAGCCCATTCCCTGCCATGTCTTATTGTTTGATTGTTTATTTCGTTTAGGTTAGTTTACTGAGTTTTGAGTTATTTTTTAATTACATTATTACTATTATATTATGTTAGATTTTGTTGTTAAATAAAATAGTTTGATGTAAATAATTGATGAACATTCGTAGTCTATTTTAGGCGTGATTAATAAATTATCGTGGTCATGGGTACAGTTCCCGTGGCATGGTCATGACACGTAAATTCCAATTCAGATGTGCATTTCATGTGACCCGACCTTAATTTCGAATAATAATAAAATTAGTATGTTGTAAATCGCGGGTGCGTTTCACATGGCGCGATTCGCAATGTGTATAAAAAATAAAGGAGTGCGCGTTATCGCGACTTGTTCAAATTAATTCCATAAATATTAAAAGCGGTTAGAAGGTAAAATTACACATAAGGTTTTAAAACATGTAATAAATCAGATAATTAAGCCAAGTATTAATTGTTAAACGACCGTGCTAAAACTACGGAATCCGGGAGTACCTAACACCTTCTCCCGGATTAACAGGATTCCTTACCCGGTATTCTGGTTTCGCAGACTTTAAAACAGTGTCAAATTTCTTCAATTTGGGATTTAAAATAAACCGGTGACTTGAGACACCATAAATATTCCAAGTGGTGACCTTGATTAAATAAATAATTCCATGTCGATTAATGTCACTTAAATTGAAAAAACTCATATCCCCCGGGAAAAAGGAGGTGTGACAACTCTGGCGACTCTGTTGGGGACAAGAACCTAGAACTTCTGGCTCAAGGTTCAGAATTCGAGTTTAGAATAACTGTTATACCTGGCTTTTGTTTATTAGCTAATTTTTTACGTGTTTGAGCATAATGTGCTAAATGTCATTTTTTACCGCTTTGATATTGCTTGAATTGTATATAGAACTGTTATGAAACCTTTCTTCCCTCTGAGTCTTCTGATAGTTAGTTATGTTGTGTTTGCCTACTAGCATCACAAAAATTTTGTCTTGAGATAAAGCCAGCTAGCCTATCAGCTTCTGGTGAAGGATTCAGTCACACATGTTTTGGCGGGAGAGCCGTTAGCTAGACAGTGTAGTTCTACTACTGGTGACGCTTGACGCTCCTCGGCTCGGGTTGTCCGCCCGAGTAAGCCATGTCTAGATACCATCTCTTTTAGGATTTTTAAACCTAGAAGAACAAACCTTATGCCAGATATCTCTCCCTAGTAGGTTCGCTTTATTTGCATCATGTGCATTTGACTTAGCAAACACTCGGCATAGATGGACGGGTTCTGTTTTAGGACAGGTATCTTGTTGAGACCAACATGTTCATATTTCTATGCTATATGTAACATTATTTGGTAGTCTTTACTCAAATGTTGACCGGTTATAGGATAGATTAATTGGACCGAGGAGAGAGAAAGAGAAATATTCCTCCATGTTTTCATAAAGTTCCCATTTTTTAAAAAAAAAGTTTTGAAGGGTTCTAATGTGTAAAATCACAATTTTCAAAATGTTTTTATTTATTTATTTTGAG